GGTTAGGTGATGGCGTTTTTTTTTTCTTTTTCTTCGTTGGGAGCTCAATTACTCTAAACAGTCCGTGGCGACAACATGCGGCGCTACCACCTCTGGCTACATCGACCTGCACAGACAGTAGTGACTGTTTTTTGTTTTGAAGGTGGTGGTGGTAGTGGTAGCAGTAATACTGGTACTGGATGGGTGATGTGGTAGCTGTTACACTGGCCACATTTACTTCTCAGTACACATTAATGCTATCCATCTGTCTCTGGGTGGACACGGATGCAAAGCTCAATTTGGTACAATATTTCGCCAGATGATGACTTTCCCATCCTTCGGCGAGGATGATATGATTAGTGGGGGGGGGGGGGGGGGGGGGGGGGGGGGGGGGGGAAGGGGGTATGGGGGGAGGGGGGTTGATGCCAGACACTGTTAACAGAGAGAGCTTAAAACATTATTTAAAAGTTATCATTTCTTAACTATTTCTATTTTAATAATTTCGCCAAGCGATGATTTTTTATTCCTTCGGAGTGGGAAATATTATGGGGGGGGGGGGGGGGTGTTTGCCAGACACTGTTAGCTAAGAGAGCTTAAAACATTATTTTCAAGTTCTCATTTGTTAACTATTTCTATTTTAATACTTTCGCCAGGGATGATTTTTCAATCCTTCGGAGAGGGAGATATGACTGGGTGGAGGGGAGAGGAAAGGGGTGAGGGTTATGACAGACACTGTTAGTTGAGAGCTACTTTCTTTCTTTTCCATTTCACCATTCGGGGCCACAGCAACGCGTGGCAGGGCACAGCTAGTAAAAAAATGTTATATCGCCTGCACTTAAGGATGACCTTATTGATGATTTTCGGAACAAGAAATATGCCATCATTATAGATAAGTTGCAAAGACTTTATCCTATCTGAGAAAATGCTTAAAGATTTTACATACGGAATAGTTTACGCTGTATCTTCCACTGGTTCCAGTCAAAATGACAGTGAAGAATTTAATAAAGCCTAGAGCTTTTGATGTGAAGTGAGTACAATGTTATACTTTATTTGGCATATTTTGGGTAATGGTTTGGCATGAAATGAGTTTTAAAAAAAACAAATCTGGCAATCCCTGTTGTTATTGTGAATAATGTCCCTTGAAGGTATGTCAGTCTGCGAACACGCATGTAATTCATTCTTACAGATTGTTGGTCTCGGGGAGAATTATTACTTTGTATGGCTATTTCAGAATAAACTTAGTTTAACTATTGCTTTTTTGTTTGTTTTTGAAAACACATACAATGTATTATATATTATTTTTACATCATTTTTAGGGCCGCATGTCTAATGCAGTCGCCATAGACTAGACGCTTAACTGTGTAAACTAATAATACTAATACTAATATCCTCCGAATAAATAACGGTCTCAGATAATCGAGGCCAAAAATATACCCTAACAGGGCCTCAGTCACGTGTCAATTGCGTACTTCCTGTGTCTTCCGCCACTTCCGAAATTATCCCCCCACGACGCTCACGCGGCGTGGATTGGGGCTAAACTAGATGGCTGGGACTTAGGAGCAGCAACTACAGCATCTCTTGCAGCTTCCTAGGCTATCCTCCGAATAACGGGCACAAAAGATGGCTGCTGCAAAATCATCATAACAGAGCCTTAGTCACGTGTCAATTGTGCACTTCCGGCGACTTAATTTGCGGTTTTCCAGGCGACTACCGCCACAGCCAAGAGTCCCCCACGCCACGCGAGCGGCGTGGATTGGGGATAAACTAGATGGCTAGGACTCACGAGCAGCAGCTTCAGCATCTCCTGCAGCTTTGCTTCTGAGTCCTAGCCATTTAGTTTAGCCCCAATCCACGCCGCGTGGAGGATACTCTCGGCGGTGGCGGTATAGTCCCCAGAAGTCCGCAATTGACACGTGACTGAGGCACTATTAGGGTATTTTTTCAGCCTCGATAATTTGGGACTGTTATTCGGAGAATAGCCCATTATATTAGTTTAGCGGTTTTCCGTATGAGCAGCAGCTTCCGCATCTCCTGCAGCTTTGCTCGTGAGTCCCAACCATCTAGTTAAACCCCAATCCGGGGACTCGTGTCGTTTGCGATAGTCGCCGGAAAACCGAAAATTAAGTAGCCGGAAGTGCGCAATTGACACGTGACTGCGGCTCGAAAGGATATTTTGCAGCTGCCATCTTTAGTGCCCGTTATTCGAAGGATAGCCTGCGATTGTAGTTCTGCCATGTGTTATGTATTTCTTCTTCTTACTGGTCGAAAAACACTTTTCGTGCCACTGTCACTTGTGTTTATGTGTAGATCTGAGCGAAAATTGCTTTATTCTATTGTTTTAATAAATGTTCACAAGACTAAAGTTGAGCGGATCAACTTCATTGCATCATGCTTGGTTTTTCTTTTTAATGCTATGCTAAGCCATTTTATATGGCACACGTAATCTAGTCACAGTTGTAACCTAAATCTCCTCGTCGAGGATGCTGGTTTAATGTGACGATTTTTAAATAATTTTTTCCAGCAAAACACCCTCAGTTTTTGGAATTCATTAGCTGATTAGCTCATTAGCAGTGCTACAGTAGGTTTAGGCATTGTCGTCTTAACTCTTTGAGTCCCAGGGGGGTTTGGCATTAGAGGCCCAAGGGGTAATGCAATTTTAAAATTTTACAAGTGTAACAGACATTAAAACAAACCATGCATATATTAATATTATACATCAAAGTAACCAGGGATTGTTGAGTAATAATTTTAGAATTCAGCTACAACAAATAATTGCGTTAGTAATTAAATATGAGTAAATAAACAGACTGTATGTTTACAAAAAATTAGTAAAATGAAATAAAAAAATTTCCACTTACCACCGTGGCACAAAGAAAACTGTTTAAAAATATATCCAAAGTGAATCACAAATGTATATGAACCACTTAGTAATGTGTAAGTAAAATATAAAGTCAGTATTAGATTTTGTTCAAGAGAATCTGTTGAAGCATAACAGAGCACCATTATTTGGTAAAGAAAACTGACTCCCAAAACAGTAAGTATTTTCACACAAAACAAAGTTTATATAACACTCAATTTGCCTGTAATTTGTTAGCTATGTTCCTAAATAATAAGGGGAATAGTGAATAGCACTACTAGAACTAACTGACGCTGAAGAAAATTGTCTTTTCACAAATGTTTATTCTATTTGTGCCAGCTGACTTTGCTACCGTTGTACCCTTCGTGTGAGGTACACATTAGACACATCCCTCATTAAAGTTTGACTCTATAAACGACTGAAACCGGTCTAATTTGCTATGTTATCTAACTTCGGATAAATCTAATTAACACAACTTTATTTAAATTTGAGGCTTCTGAAGCCGTAAATCATGTTGTTATGCTTGTAAAATACTCCTTGGCGGCCATATTCTATTTAAACAAAAACACTTAGTAACTTTGCAAACCTCGCAAATATACTATATTTTTGGCTTTCAAACCATGTTTCCAAATGAGCACGCCTGATATAGGACACAAAGAACTCGAAAGGAAGTTGAAATTGAGCGGTCTGCGTTTTATGACCGGTCAGTGGTAGATTAAAAAACGTCACTTGTCACAGTGTCACACGCGTCGATTGGGCCGCCTGGTTGTAACAAGTTAGTGCCTGATGTGTTCCCTGGGACTCAAAGAGTTAAGTTACTGATCTAAAATTTTGTCCCCCAGCAAAGCAGAAACTAAGCAGCTTTTGTTTTTTGGAATTTATTAGTTGAATGTTGAATTAAGAATCAACATCATAGCCTTTGGGATACCCCCATAAGTGCTCTGTGCCCATCTTCAGCAGAGTTCCGATTCTGATGACACTAGTAACTGTCTGATTGTATATCCATCTCACCCTTCCTTTGAGTGTTGAGCGTCGGCCAGATCCCGTGGTAACTACTTGCAGCGCCATTCTCCTGAGACCGTAATGATTCATTTGCACTTTTGCACTGTTTGGATCTGTTTGTGTAGCCTCACTGTTCACCCGCTCCCAGAGGGCCCTCACAACGTCTAGCTTGTCATACATCAGTTCACCACCAAGTGGTGCAGAACCAGCCAGTCTATCTGCCTGCTCATTTCCCAACACACTGGCATACTAACTACCCAGACCTCTGAAGTGATGCTTGCCACTCTGCAAAAAACATAACTTTCTCCACCTTTCTCGACATGCTCTGTGAGTCGGTGACAATCACGGCATATGTGTTCAGCTGATTCTCAAGCCAGCGGAAGGCAGCAGTGACTGCCTTCACCTCCATTCTCAAACTAGACGTGATATCAGATGCCAGTCTTTGTTGCATTAAGCGATGCCCATTTGTTTTTGCTATAAACCTCCATGCACTTCATTTGCCCCTTAACACAGAGCCATCTGTATAGATAATTACATCACTAAGGCGGGAATTGTCATGAATCATTTATTGAACTTCCGATTCTGCAGTGCTAGCTGGCCAGTCCCTGCACTCAAGACCCAAAGTGATAGAACCCTAAACGTCTGAAACTAGCCCGGACACTTTGACCTCACCTCGCACAAATTTATTTTACAGTTTGCAGCAATAAAGTCAATTCAAGTATTTATGTTTAACCAAATTGTATGTTGTTGTTTGAGTATCTCCAAATTTAAGTTTGAATACTATTTTGGGGTTATTTTTTCAGTCTTAAAGTCAGATTACTGTTCACTATAATTAACTTGCCTGATTCTTTTTTAATGACTCATGGAATAACACTTAACACTTTTGTATTCATGCATACACAAAAATATTTTCATTAAGAAGATTGTATAAACAAATCTGTGAGGAGTAGTGAGAAAGATAATGTTTTCTGGCTCAGAGAAATTCATTGCAGACCCATACTAAAAAAAATACAAATGTTTTGCATGAATTTTTAAATGTGAATCAGTGTGATTTATTAGATATAAATGTTTTTATTGTGATACACTGGCATAATGTGTCATTTGTTTAACACAGATTGTGTTCTTATCGCATTTCAGAGTTACAACTGCTGTCAAGTTACTTATGAGCAAGAAGGCAGTTTTCTGTGCTCACACTCAGAGCATTGCTTATGTCACCAACATATTAGCTTGTTTGAGAGGATGTCACCTGGGTAAAATTGTTTATCCAACTATTAACAATTTAAGATCATCAAGTAATCTGTCCTGCTGTTTGCTGCGTGCGCAGCAAAATAACTGTCATGAGCACTTTAAATGGAACAGAAAATTTGGATTAAAAGGACATTATTTTGCTTGTAGAGACTTGCCACAAACACCAGTATTGTATATTGGGAGGTCCTCCTCAGAAATCTTACTCAGACCAACTTTGATCACAATGAAGTTAGAAAGCCCAGAGTTTCGGTCCATTTTCACCCCAGAGCTTCAACTTCTCATAGACCTGTTTAGAAAATATGACTATGAACTGCGCATTGCTGGTGGAGCTGTCAGAGATTTACTGGTTGGAAAAATTCCCTCTGACATTGATTTTGCAACCACAGCAACACCAGATCAAATGAAAGAAATGTTCACAACAGAAAATATTAGGATGCTAAATGCAAATGGAGAGGCTCATGGAACTGTAACAGTTCGCATCAATGACAAGGTGAAGTTTTGTATGTGCACATTATATTTGTTAAATATTTAAATATGTTTTGTCCTGTTTCAGCATAACATTAGTTAAGTAAACTTGGCATACTATTTGGCTTATAGTAGTTTAGTTCAAAGGAGGGGAGGAGAAGGATGTAGAGCACAAGGTAGAGCAAGAAAAAGATATAAAAAAATGACATCAGAGAAACTCTACAACAGTACAGTATGTAAGTAGTTGAGGCAGAAAAGCAAGAAGCAGAACCTTATATCTATTTCAACACCCAAAGAAGTAAAAGCAGCAATATTGGACTGAAATAATTAGCTTCTCACCTTTCATCAGAGATTCTGTTGTTCAAAATTTGTGACAGATAACATGAAAACTTTTTTGTCCTGAATATCTCTTGTGTGCTCCAAACTGTTACATGGTAATATTCCTGCCAGTGTCAATTGTTGCCTTTTTCCTTAGATAGTGGCGTCTGTATTTAGTATGAAACATCTTTAAAAAGTTCTGTTTTTCCTGTAGTTGTAATTATTATGCTTGAGTAGATGACAAATGTTTTCATGAACATCCATTATTGTTTTATTTCATAAGTTTAATCTGCTAATTAAAGTATTTGTTTTAGTTATCAAGAGAGAACTAGACGTAAATGTAACTGTAGAATTAAAAACAGAAACTGGGCTAAAAGATGTGAAAATTATCTTGTGGGAAGAAAACTGCTGAAACCAATACAGAAACAAAGACTGCTGACAGTTAGTCATACTTTACACTTAATTTATTCTTAGAAGGCAAAATCCTTGATGAGCAAAAAAGAAGGCTTTATCTATCCCTGCTTGCATTATCTTGTCAGTGGAGACATATCTAGCACTATGACAACTAAGGTTTCATGTTGACTGTATCACTTGTCTATTTAGCCTGTTGTTTCATCCGTTAATAAAGACTCTGATAAAAACATTTGGTTCTATTTGTGCAGATCATTTCTTTTTCCTTCGCTGATTTAAGTCATATCTGCCACACTTTTTGAGTAGTAGGGCGGGCTTCAGTGTGGTGGTTGGTCTTCTGAGCCAATAACAATACACCCTGGTTTGCCACAGGGCTCTCCATTGTCTCCTATCCTCTTCAATATCTACACAGTCAAGATCACAGGAGAACAACTGAGTGGCAAAGGAAGAACTCTTTTCATCTGCAGATGACATCCTCTTGTACCGACAGGGCAGGAACAGAGATGACATTGTTTCAGATTTGCAACAGGAATTAGATGGCATATCTTCCTGCTGCACACCTCAGGGGCAGCAATTAATCCATCAAAAGCGACAGTCACCTGGTTCTCGTTGAATAATCACCTTTTCAAAGCACCAGTGCTGGTGGAAAAATTATGTTGCGCTGACATGGAGAGATCTGATTCCATGAAATACCTGGGTATACCGTTTGACTGCAAATAAAAGTTATGGGAGCTGCAAGCTTTGAGCAACGGCTACTTATATCATGCTTTAGTTCTCTCCACCATTGAATATGCATTGGCTGTCATGACACTCAGCACCACCAGATAAACAGGTTGGATACATTTGAGGACGAGGCAATGCGTATTATTCTTGGATGCACTAGAGACACCTCCTGTAAATCCATGCGATACCTCTTGGATTTCCCAACAAAGGAAAACAGAATCAAGCTATCCAGGGCTGTTGCTATCCTCAAAGGGAAGTTAGACCGACACCCCCTTCATGAAGAATTATTCAAGCAAATAACTGAAATCGATATAACTGATAAAAGTTCACCATAGCTATAATTCTCAAGAAAGCAGATTTTTATAAAGAACTGGATGTGGCTAAAGGGTTATCTCAAAAGGAAAAGGTTAAGGAAATAATAGAAACTTCACTTTTCTACTCATCTGGATTAGTGACATGTTTAATGCTTCTGATACGTACTGACTGGTCCTTGCCCTGATGGGAACCACGATAAAAGAAACAAGTGCATATGTGTCGTGTCTAAATTACACAGTACGCATATTCAAATAAGAACATTTTCACCACTATTCATATTCACATTCTCTCCAGTCTAGTCTGAAGGTCTTTTGTCTCACACTGATGTCCTACATATCATACCTTTCCACTCCAATCCTGTCATGATAGTTGAAGTCAGTTGTCTATCTTCACTCAGACTTCAAAACTGTTTGACACGGACATGTGGTAACAGGTTATGTGCTGAAAACCTTAGACTGTATATGTGCAAGATTTTCCAAATATTATATTTCCAGTGAAAGTTAATCATTTACTCTTATGGTTACCATGGGTTGTCAATCCCATGTGTAGGTAAACACATTTCATTGAGTACATGGTGGGCTATAAAAATCATCATATCCCCACATCAATGCACATAGTATTATTGATGTTTGAAACATTATAATCTCATTTAATAACTATTTACATTCAAGTCCTATTTTACAAACATGTACTGAAAAACATATAATACAAGCATTCAAGAAATAGGAATGGGTTACCAGCTCCCGAACTGAGATAGCTGAAAACTGACAAAGAAATATTTCAAACAGAATGTGTATTTAGATAATTTGGAGACGATCATATAGCATATCTAGACTCATAACAGGTGAATAAAAGAGTGAAAATAATATTCAGTTACACCTTGAAAATTCCAGCAGTTTGCCAGAAAGACTCACACAGCTAGAATAACTTTCTATAGCTCTTAGTATTAGGCATTCTGACAGCAGTCTGAATTGAATTCAAGACTCCTCATTATTAATCTTTCCCCTCATCTCAGTTAGCAGGGTTTAGCTCTTTCCTTCAGGAGAGGCTTTACGCCCTACCCTCGACCTACCTTCAAACTACAATTATCTTTCTTTGTGGTTCTCAATTAGGAAGTCACAAACACTTGTTTGCCAACACTGGGTCACATTCCCACAGTCTTTCAATCTGGCAGGAGCTTTGTATGACCATAAACAAAGTCACACCACCTCCTTCCACATTCCCATCTGCCAACAGCCTCCATCAGGCAAATGTCAGCACTAGCAATCAGACCTACACTCCAGTAGGGTAATCTGGCTTCTGATAATTTTATGACACCCCAAGCTTGGTGGTCTGTACTTTCCACTTCACTGGTGCCACCAAGTCTACCTGGTCAGTGTTATCTGGATTTTTGACACTTTACCTCTGTGCAAGTGTCTGAGTATTTGATTTCAACTGTAATCCCAGGGAAACTAAATGGCTTTGTTCTGGATCAACCTATTTTCCTCCATAACCTAAAATATATAGACAGAAATTTAGTTAGGGAGAAATCAGTGTTCTGAAGTTAATCAGTGGTGACAACACAATGTTTTTATATTGTTGGTGGTGGCTGTGGATGTGCTTAAAACCATTCAAAATGAGAAACATGTGACACCCCTAGACTGTAGGAGGGTCCCAGGAAATTCCCTATGAAATCTTGCAGTCGACAAGAGTCGACTCACTTTTGTGAGTTGAACCCAAATCTGTAGTACTGTATATGATAAAGCATGAAGAACCACAAAAACAGTTTCAGATAAGCCACAATTTATTAGCCGGTGTCTGTACAGAATACAGGTATGTAAATTGCACAATATAATCACTAACATTTAATTTTCTGAAAGATCTAAACAAATTCCAGTGAATCAGGAGGTCAGGAAAAGACACAGGATGTTGGATAGGGCACATATTGAGAAAACCTCGGTACAGTATAAGCTGAATGCCTTTCTAATTGGAACCTGCAGGTGGAAAAGGCCAGACCCACCCCTCAACCTCCACCCAAAAGAAAACAAAAAAAGTGAACGAGAGATGCAGTCACGGATGGCCCTAGCAGAAGACACAATATGACAAGTATGCATGCTAGAGAACATTGGGCGAGGAGAGGAGTGGGTCAGCGTACCAGAGGAAAAGTATGACCTGTGTAGGGTTATGTTCACATTGGGCAGGGAGTGGCCAGTTGGTGCTGCAGAGGTGGAAGTCTAACGGTTGATTCACGACAATTTACGCCCAGGTGATATGATTATCTAAACAGATGGTTTGGTGTTGAGAGGAAAGAGAAGTGCCTGTGAGTTTGTAGCGAAAGCCAGTGGAAAATATTTAATGCAAGACAGCCTAGCATACGACATCACATCGTCTAGCATGAGAATGTAGGTGGTAACTGCAGGCCTCCGGTGGCTAGAGAACAAGATGCATACACATGTCGTAATTGTAACAGACTCTCAAAGCTTGCTGAGAAAGGTGAAGACAGGGATGCTCCGAGCAGACTGGGAAGGTCAAGGGTAGTGAGCTTACTTTGGATCTTTTCTCGCAACTATGCCAGTGTGGTGGGTACTGAACAGGCAGATAGATTGGCTGGATCTGCACCACTAAGTGGTGAATTAAACATGACAAGGCAGATGTGGTCAAGGCCCTTTAGGAACAAACAACGGAATCAGTAGAGAAACAGGATTAATTAATTAGTTAGGTTATCATTATTGCACTCCGGACATGTACATAGGTGCTCAGTTCCTCCCTTCAGTATGAACCCCAACGTCCGATGGCTAATAGTACCGGTTTTATGTTGATTAACAGGTCTTCTGGTGTGCGTCTCGTTTTTTGCTATGCCGATCTTGATTCCCAAGTCCCAAGAAACATGATTATTATGGCCTGGAGAGAATAAGGCATCTGGCTGTAACCAGAGGGTCTGGCTGGCTCATTACACTCAGAGGAAAGGTAGGACGGACATAACCAGATTGTGACCGGTACTATCAGTATTGGAACTCTGCGCTGGCTGCTGAAGATGAGGACGGAGCACACATGGGAATGCCGTAAGTGCTGTTGTGTAAATTCTGGACTCAACTCAAATTGGTAAAGAGTTAGTGCTCCATGCTGTAAGTTGGGATAGAAATAGGCTGCAGAAGAGCAAGCTGCCATAGTTTTCCTACTATATAGTATTTCCTACATGTTATTTGTAGCACTGGTTGCATGTAAAGGCTGTCCACAGACATTTGAGCCTGTCAATGCTATTAGTACTTTTTCTATCAGACTTCAAAACTAATTGGCAATGAATGAATGCAAAGACTTTAAAAAAAACATAAATTCATGCTCGACACTCAGGGAAAAGGCGAGACGGATTTACAATCAGACAGTTACCGGTACCATCAAAATTTTAACTCTTTGCTTGCAGCTGGAGATGGGGACGGAGTGTTTATGACTGTGTCCCGAGTGCTGTGATGTTGATTCTTAATTCAACATTTATGCTTTCAAATTATACATGCTGATCTGTTAATTATATTATAAAATAACTATTTTTTAAACAGACAAATTTTGAAGTAACAACTTTAAGAATTGATGTAGTAACAGATGGTAGAAGAGCTCAGGTTGAGTTTACCAAAGACTGGATTTTGGATTCAAATAGACGGGATCTTACAGTCAATTCAATGTTTCTTGGTGAGTTTATTGTAAGTTATTGCTTGCTTGTTCTAGTTTACACAAGTTTCAGTTTGTAGTTTCATTTTATTTTGTTATCACATCTCGTACACTCCATCTGCTTCCCCGAACTGTACACGCTCTCCCAGAAGGCACTAACCACGTCTGCCTTATCAAGAATCAGTATTCCACCAAGTGGTGCAGAGCCAGCCAGTCTGTCCGCCTGTTCATTTCCCAACACATCGGCATGTCCTGGTGAAAAATCCAGACAATACTCCTCACCCGTGTCCTCTGCAGTGAAGCATGCCACTGCACGAAGCATGCCTGTCCTGATCCTCCTCAGCATGCTTTCTGAAGGCCTTACAAGAACGTACTGGAAACAGTGCGATGTCATAGAAGTTTATGAAGTAAATCGTTATCAGTATATCAAAAACAGCTGTTGCTATGCATCATTCCAGCATGTGTCATAAACAGGATTGTGCGCTTGAGATTTTCACTGTTGCCCCATAGTTTGACTTGCAGGGTCACTTCTATGGGCCATATTTCTTTTAACTGACTTGCAAAGTCTGTGCAGTCTCGTAAGACATGCTCTGAAGTTTGCTTTGTTGCACCAAAATAGCATATAGCAGAATTAGTGAGACCCAAATGGCATATATGTGCTAGGGGTTATAAAGTGGCACATTTGTAATGAAGACAATTTTGGTCAGCATTTTTCTGTCAAGTCAACAGTCCTGCTCTTGTTTGTAATTTTTGAATGAATTCTCACCACTTCATGTTTTAAGTGTATCTTTTCCTCTTTGAAGCTCTGTGATTCCCTGCAGATTTTCAAACTCATCTACCTCTCACAGTGGACTGTTGTTTACTGCAGAACTAGATCTGTTCTTGTAGACAGCATTCTGTTTTTATTTCACAGATAATGCTGTCATGTTTGAAGCATGAACCTTCTTCTTCTTCTTTTGTTCACCTGAAATAAGTTGTCTATATCAACAATTTTGTCTCTTGTAAAAATTTCACTGTCGTTGATAGTTCATTCAGTGGTCCATAGAGTTTACGTTCCACTGTTGTTCTTTCTGGCCAAAAGGTGTCAAATTCAGGGCAGTCCTGGAGTACATGCTATGCTTTCTGGGGCACCTTTCCACAGGTGCACATGGCTGATACGCCTATCTTGAATTTTGTGTACATGTTGTTACGTAATCAGTTGTGCCCTGTTCTGAGGAGGAAGATAATGACTTATTCTGGTCTGTCCATAATAAAATAGTCGTCTTGTGCTGGGGCTGGTGGTTTCCTGATCGATTTAATGATTCTTTTCTTTTAGTGGTATGTGACTGGTACATCCGGCTGCTCTTTTGCCGCACCTACTCCTGCCAGTTGATCAGCTTTCTCATTTCCAGGCACTCCACAATGAGGCAGTATCCACTGCATTACGACTCTTCGCTGAAGGCTGAGTTGTGCCAGCAGTGTTTGCATTTCTGATAGTTTCCTAGACTGGAGTGCTTCAAGTACGGATTTAGCATCTGTCAGCATTACCACATACTGTGAGTCAAGAATGGTATTAAGCAGTTTCTCTGTTGCTATCTTGATAGCCTGAGTTTTTGCATCATATTTATGGCAGAACTTCCCGGTTGGTACGCTGGATTTATCCCTAGTACCATCTGGGAATTCTAGGTACACTCCAGCACCAACTGCATTTTATACGGACCCATCTGTATAGACTCTGACCCATTGTTCTTGTAGGTATTCTTCATCAATATAACTTAGGGTGCTCATTCTGTGTTGTACACTATCTTGCTCTTTCTTGTCAAATATCCCTTTCACATTTGTCTGGATTTGTACTGTTAGTTTGCATTTTTCTCTCCATGGTTTGTTCTGGAATACTTTTAGCATGAACTTGATTTTAAGTCTGTGAATATAGCTGCCTGGCTATTGAGAATCTGGCCGATACTCGGCGCTCAAAAAAAAAAGCAATACGGACATATAACTAGGCTGCTACTGGCACCATTGGTATTGGAACTCTGCCATGGCTGAAGGGGATGGGGCACTTGTGGGAATGCCCTGAGTGCTATAATGTGGGTTCTTGAATCAACTCAACTCAACTGAAAGTCTGCACAGCTAATGAGAAGCCTTTTTCCAGTGCCCTGAAGTTCGCCAAGTTTCCCTTGCTGGGTGGAGTGTTGCAGTTTTGATGAATAATGTAGATTCTTAGCCCCATTCTTTTTTTTTTTTTTTTTTTGCATCTGTGGTGGAATCATATGTGAACACGTATGTCAAAATATTGGAGGAATAACAATTCCTTAGCATAGTCTATGAAAAAAAAAAAGGGGGGGGGGGAGGGTCATTAAAATGTATTTATTATTAAGACTTCCAGTGCTCTTCTAAATAGGTTTGGACAGATTGTCTATGGTTCTGATATGAGCACTTTACACATTATATCATCATCATCATTGTGTAGCAGGTCCTATGCAGAAAGTTGCTTTAATCACAGTCTGCCTGAAAGAAACCTAGTCTCTCACCAGCTCTCCTGTCTCATGCACTTTCATACTCAAGGAGTCACTTATATCATGTGCCCATCTTCTTGCAGGACAGCCCCTGCCCCTCCTTCCTGGTACCATGCCTTCTGCTATTATTTTTTCCAGTCCACAGTGACGCTTGACATGGCCAAAATATTTCAGCTTTTGAGACAAAATGATCTTTACTAGTCACTCTTACTTGATTTTAAGATCTTTTAAAATATCAGTAGTTATTTCTTCTTTATCAATGGTATTGTGATAATCTTTCTGTAGCATTTCAGCTCAAAAGCCCCTATTTTCTTTTTTAAGGACTGTGAGATAGTCTGTAACATATCTGTATGTTGCTTCAGGGAAGATGCCTGCTGTCAAAATTCTGACTTTGATTTCCTTGTTGGTGTTTAGCCATAGACTTTTAATTCTGTTTAATCTTTGTATTCTATAGCCATCCTCCTTTTGACTTGCTTTTGAACAGTCTCTGTTACTGTTTATTATGGAACCTAGATATTCAGAGTTTGTGACATCATTTATGTTTTTTTTTTGGGTGACAGACTTTATTTTTGTTTTAAATAATTTGAAGAGCAGGTTTTGGTCTTGACTATATTTTTTATTTAGACACACATGATTAAATGTTCTGTTCCCTTGACACCGTTGGAAAGGAAGACAGTCATCAGCATAGCAAATAGTAAATGATAATTGTATCAGTTTCTTTAGGTTTGAGCTTTTCTTAACAGTCTGTTTTTACCTCACTTGACATTTTTGGTGCAGCAGATGAAAGTCTTTTAAACTTTTAACCCTTTCGCACTGTAAAAATCTGTTAAAAAATGACTTTACAAAAAATGTTTGTTATAAAGAAATGTGTCGTTATAATTCTCTGAAACTACTGGGGGGAAAAACACTAGAGAAAGAGAAGAAGGAGCAGTAGGAGTTTGGAATCTTTGTAACTTTTTATAAAAAATCTACTGGATTGAAACCTGTAATCACAGATTAGACAGGCAAGCCTGCTAACTGTTGCATCATCACGGCCCTCTGGTCATTAAAAAGATGGATTTCAGGTGACTCTGGTATCAGAGGTAACTGGTTGAAAGAGAAAAAAAAATATAGATGTTTGTATGTGAGGTATTTGTTGATTTGCTAAAATAGTGGAAATTGTTTCTGTGTCTATGAAGAGAGCAAATACTGTTGTTATGGTTTTTGCTGTGTTCAGGTTCTACTTTCTCTGCTGTCTTTTTGATGCATGTAGACAAATGTTGAGGTGTTTTTCATGGCTGTCCAGATAGCAAAATGATCTGCATGAGGTCTGTTTCTGACATGTTGGTGATGATTTAGTAATCAAGACAAAAAAAGGAGAGTTGACATTATTACACTACTACCCTGTGGGTCCCATCTCACAGTTTTACTGACTTGCTGAAGTAGCTATCTACTTTAACTCTGTCCTGTTGTTGGCTAAGAAGTCTCTTATCCAAGAACACACCTGTAATACCTGATTATAGAATTTTCATCAATAGGCCTTCCTTTGGCATAGTTTCAAAATATTGGAAAGATCAAAAATATGGCAAGAATTTCCTTACTTTTAGGACACTCAGGATATCTTCTGTTGTCTAGCCTAGTTGGTGTTTTGTTCTGCCTAATGACTTTCTTTTTTGTGGGAAAATAATTCATTGGTTTAGAGCAGTATTTATACATACTGTTCCAGTCAGAGAGAAGAAATCCCATCCACATGAGACCCTGCAAGATAAACAATGGGTTACTGAATAAAATGGTTCATGCCCACAGTCTGGTTTATGGCCCATGCTAGAATTGATGTATAGCAGACTTTTATCACTGACAAAGTTACTTTAATATTTTCCTTCGTTGTATTAGTTTGTGTGTGCAAGATGAATGTTGCTATAGCTGATTCAAAAAGTTAAGTATTTGTAATACAGCTTTCAAGGCACTTTATGTAATTATTGAGAACTGTCAACACAACAGTGGGAACAGGATTGGTGAAGACAGATCAATTGGTGTTGCAGTTAAAATGAGCGATCACATCCATTCTGTGTTTAATAAAATCAGATCTCTTGTGTCCTTAGAGAAATGTTTATGTCTAGAGCTCCAAGTTGCACCCCCATATCCACCAACCCTCGCAAGGTTACAGGGTCATACCTGTCCCTTCATTGTCTTTGCGATTTGCATCTCACATGGCATTGATGACATCGCTCCTGACCATTGTCAGAACAATCATAATGGCCGTATTGTCCATCAGATAATCTGCCTTCTCATGGCCTGACATTAAGATTAAGGTTAAACTAGCCATTAACGACGCATTTAGTGCAGAGGGTGGTAATTGTTTTGGTCCATGGGCCAATTTGATAATTACCAACCTGATCGCAGGCCATATAGAACAAAATCCACTATAAACTTGAAACCCAGATTTCCTCACAACACTGAAATGCAGGACCTTATATCTTCCTTGACACTCAAAGCGGTAAAAGAGGACGTAAAGAAGCAGAAGACTGAAATGTATTCTTTATAATGATTTGAAGAATGTTACGGCATAACAAGTTCTGTCACCAAAATTGTACTAAGAATGATAGAGGGTAGTACAGGCCACACAGCCAAACACTTTTACTGTCCATATTTAAATGAATATATAGTAATTTACTTATCAGATAGGAATCTAATGTAACTCTAAAGTCTAGCTTTATTGTGCGAAAATGAAGACATCACTAATGTTTATCAAGTTAATGAGGATAACCCACAAGTGCCACAAAAGTTTATGAAATAAACAGATTAGTAAATAAGTGGATTGGACTACTATAGTGAAAGCCAACATTTTTAAAACCAAACAAATAAACTCAGACTGGCAAGTGTAAAAAACAGAGATAGAATGTTTATGGCATCTCTTACAAATTTTTTTTCTATTTTCAGGTTTTGATGGAACAGTTTATGATTATTTCAATGGTCTTGAAGATTTAAAAGAAAAGCGAATTCGTTTTGTTGGAAGTCCAGAACAAAGAATTCAGGAGGATTATCTCAGAATTTTGAGATACTTCAGGTACCAGTGGATAGTCACTTATCTTCAACACACATTTGTTACTGTACACTGTCAGCATTATATGTTGAGTGTCCACTGGTTGATGTCCTTCAAATGAAAGAAACTTGATGAATGAATGTATGAATCAGGAATTGACATTCACTGCAGTTGGGACATTCATACACAAGTTCCAGCCCTTCTTCAGTATAAAGAGTCAGCATGCTAATAGTACCAGTTGCAGCCTGACTAAAAAAAGTCCACCTCAGTTTCCCCCTCAGCGTTGAATATCTTCTAGAATCTGTACATACACCTCCGTTGAATTAGTCTTTTAGTGCTTGGATTCTCTATCTGTTCTCTTGCACTGTACATTTGATCCCAGAGAACCTTCACCCCGATCACTTTATTATAAATTGCTCACTGCCCAGAGGAGTAGCAGAGCCAGTCTATCAGTCTGCAGCAAAGAAACTGAATTGCCACTCTTTGATCTTCTTTGGATGTATTTGGATTTACCAGGCCATTTTGACAATGTTCAGAATCAGAACCTATGCATCATTGGATGATAAACATGTGATCTTTTATTCTATACACCCTTATCACATTGTACTAGTACTTATTAGATGACAGTAACAGGGTCATGTTCAGCATACGCAGTTATGCACAGTGCGGCACGAAGGAGGTTTCTAATAAATGCTCCATCTATATATATATATTTGTGTGTGTGTGTGTGTATATATATCTATATTAATAAAAATGTTAATTTTCTGATGTTGTTAGCTCTAAACTCAGAAACTACTGACCGATTGCTTTCAAATTTGATCACAACGTTGCCTCTGACTTAGAGCGTTATTTTTTGTCATAAAATCGCACACATCATGAAAGGCGTAGCTCCAGCAACGGTCAAATCATTATTTGTTTCGTTGCCCGCTCGGATTTATTTTTAATCAATTTGCCACCTTTGACTTGTAACGCCGAACTTCACATTATTACTATACACTTTTATTTCTACCAAATGCTTGTGTGTTTAGTATCGTAGTTAGTTGTAAGCATTTCTCATTTTACTCGCGTTATAGGGGTTCGATTCCCCGCTGATTAATATAAATTTTTTTTGGGGGGGGGGGGGGGGGGGCTAACTGGGTGGCTGCCACGTTTTGTTGTGGTTTATAGCTAGGCTGCAATATCTACGCTTTTTTGCGTTAGTTTTTAGGGTTTACAGCTAGCTTGCTATGGCGGCGACTTGATGCTCAATGTTCATTTCACGGTTAATATTCATTCGCCCTTGTGTTGTGGTTTACAGCTAGGCTGTGATATCTGCACCTTTTGCCCAGAGACATACAATTTCAGTAAAGTCCCATTTATCCTCCCCGCGATGCTTCACTCGATCATAAACTATTCGTTGATGACAGAAGCTGTTAACTAAGACTGCTTACAGTTTGCTTTGGGTGGACACGAATGCCAAGGTCATTTAACATTCGTTTCTTCGGAGAGGGGAGATGATGGGTGGGTTTTTCCCCCGCTATTTGTGAGTATAGACCGGACTATTACTGTGGGTTCCATCACTGGTTAGGTGATGGAGTTTTTTTTTCTTTGTTGAGAGCTCAGTTACGCTAAACAGTTCGTGGCGACATCTTGCGGCGCTACCTCCTCTGGCTACACCGACCTGCACAGACAGTAGTGACTGTTTTCTGTTTTTGTTCTGAAGGTTGTGGTGGTAGTGGTAGCAGTAGTACTGGTACTGGATAGGTGATGTGGTAGCTGTTACACTGGCCACATTTACTTCTCAGTACACATTAATGCTATCCATTTGTCTCTGGGTGGACACGGATGCAAAGCTCAGTTCAGTTACAATATTTCGCCAGATGATGACTTTCCTATCCTTCGTCAAGGATGATATGATTAGTGGGGGGAGGGGGTTGATGGCAGACACTGTTAACTGAGAGAGCT